AATTACAAGTTAAAGGGGGCATGGACATTTCTCTATTTTTGTATCGAAAAAATATCAAACCGTGAGACTAAAGTATCGAACCGAATCATGAATTTTTTGTATCGTTGCAGTCCTACTAATTAATTAATTTAAAAAAAATTAAACAATACATAAGAAGATAAAAGAAAAACAAATGGAAAAACTATACATAGTGTGTCACACACATTACATCCAGCCATAGTAGTGATCGTTTCTAAAAATAAATAATTGTGATTAATCGCAAAAATATCTTGAGATTAATCACGATTAAAAATTTAACCTGCACCCACGAAACAGATACGCAGACATCAACAAGTGGAAAATCAATGTCTGAGGTTGATATCTGCCCAGTTTTACTCATCGGACAGATTCTAAAAAAATGAACATCGGCTGATACGGATGTTGTTTCCGATATCTCGTGCATCCCTAGCTTTGTTTGACTGGACATTAGGTACTGCTCACAGCCGAACAAAAGGGCACAGTGGCTAAACTTCAGATCTTTGTTGAGGTAGATGAGAAACCGATTTTTTTTCTACCGATCGGCCAATCGCCCAAAATTAAAAGTTTCTCTGATAAATCAGCGGTGCACCCCTAGTACATGCAAGAGCAGTTGTCGTGTATTAACTCTCATATTTATCATCGGCTATACGCCACAATTAATCATGATCGATTTTTATGCCAACATAGCCCAACTCTAGTGCAGCATAACAAACGTTATGAAATTCTGTCACAGCTTTTGGTGCCACCCCAGGGTTCTCAGCGGTCCCCACATGGCCTCCCCATTAAAGCACGTTCTGGAAGGCGCCACTGGTGGCTCCCCCCTCCTCCTCGTGGAGAGTTCACCTTCTCTCTTCGTCAATTAAAGGCAGAAAACCTCTTAGCAGTTTTTTCCAGGAAGGTTTATTTCTCTGAAATCCTCACAGAGACGTCTTTTCATTCCCTTCACTGTTGTTTTTTCCATCTCCACAGCCTGACATTTTAAACACTGTGGGTTCACTGTCAGGTCTGACTGTGTGACACGGTGCTTTTCACTTTGGCATAGAGCTGGGCGGTATGGCCAAAAATTTATATCGCGGTATTTTCAACATTTACACCGGTTTGATGGTATTTGATGGTATTTTTCTTTTCATCACAGGTCAGCTGATATTAAAATGTACAAACCCTGCTTATTAACTTTTTTCTTGTACTGTACCTCTGTCTGTGTCACTGTTTCCCTCCTATGTGTCTTTTCTCCTCCAGGTTGTAGACAGTAGTCACGCATTTTGGTCCGGTCGTGAAGGAGGAGGATTACGAAAAGATTATGATCGGGTTTATTGTTTTCTGTTATTTAATAAAGATTATCAGCACGACTCACCTTGCACACCAGTCAATTCCAATTCCATTACAAACTACTTTCCCAGTGCTTTTCACAATAAAACCATGTTAAGTCTCCATTAGCATAACGTATCCATATTAACGTTAAATCTAACTGTGCACGTCACTGAAGAGGTGTTTACTACATTCAGCGACGGCAAAAACGGGATGTTTTTTTAAAGTCAGTCAATATAAGAAGTGAAATCGTCACCAGCCTCTGAAGCTGTTCAACAGTAACATTAGCATGCTAACGCACATAGCGGTGCTGCGAGGAAAACTGTCCCCCGGGAAACGGCTCATTGGCAGCCGCGACGAAACGTTCCGCACATGTTCAGGCTATTTAAACCGTTATGTCCGGTATTCAGAAAATTCATGTCATAACAAAAATAAAAACCGGTATTCGGTACAAAATGGTATACCGCCCAGCACTACTTTGGCAATATTGGGCCTCATGCAAGAACCGTTCGTACGCACAGATTTGTTCTTAAATTGTGCGTACGAGTGATTTAGGAGAATTTGTGGCATTCACCAATGTTTTCGTATTCTAAGATTTTTTTCAGATACGAACAAAATTTACGAGTGGTCCAGACCTGTCGTATATTTTACCAGCAGTCAGTCTGCTGTTATCCAGACGGGTTTTCCTCCCTAATAACTTTATATTTCATTAGTTTGAAGATATTTTGAGTTGAAACGGGGCGCAGCGCTGCGGCTTCTGAATGAATGAAAATGATTTAACACAGTTGTTTATACTTTTAGCAGCTCTTTTTATTCCACAGCTGACCTGCTAAAAATGACAGATTTTCTTTTCTGGATCTCTGACAGACGGACTTCAATCTCTGAACTCGTAAAGTTTTTCTTTTTAGTTTTCGCTGTCATTTTTATGAATGGACACTTCCTTGTATCTGAGGCAGGAAACATAGCCTTATATGGTGTTTTTGGGGTGGTAATTATGCTAATCTCCTCTCGCGTGCACGAGCAGCTGGATACAAACAGGTGGAATTTACGCAGCTCATTTACACACTTTTCCTGAAGATAGAAGAGTTTGTTGAATCTGACGTGGCATGTTCGTACGAACCCTTTGTACGAACAAAAGTAAGAGAAATTTAGGAGAAGAATACGAACATGTTCTTGCATGAGGCCCATTGTTTTTTGCCCGTGTTTGTGTGTATCTGTGCAACTGTTGGGAGTTAACTCTGTGAGCATAATGTCTCCTGAACGGCTGGACATATTTTAATGAAACTTTCATAGAGGAATCACTGGATGCAAATCTACAACTGATTAATCCAATTCAAGATTACTAACACAAAAACAACTGACAGGCATGGAGCTCATTTGGTGTGGTAGTAGCTGAGAGTCATACTCAACACACACTCTGATTGCTAACAACAGATTTCTTGAAGCGATAAGGATTCAGAGTTCGGTTTGTTGTGTGACTTTGTTCACTCAGTTACAGAGCGACTTGTCGTAGGAACGTTAAAGTGAACGTAACAACTGGATCTATTATTTGTGTGTTTTCTTTCTGATCTGTGTTTAAAGTCATGCAGCATTCCGTCACTGAAATCTGATTTTCGTCTCCGGGTGGCAAAGTCAATGTTTATCTCTTTTGTAAACCACAGCACATTCTGGAGGCCTTGTTGCTAAGGGACTGCAAGGAAACTTCACCCCACCACTCCTCCTCCTCTTCATCCCCAATCCCCCCCACCCCCCTCTCTGTCACACACACACACAAACACTCCTAAATTGCTAGCGCGTACGTGCTAGTCCACCCAGTAAACTTCCTGTCCAGAGTACACAGATGGGCTGATATTAGGGGCATCAATTTACTTCTTAGGATTGTCATGCCCGTGCAAATGTATACTAGATTGTTATCTTGGGTTACTTACTGTGTCTGGGTGTTGGTTCACACAGGAAATGGTCCACTCTGTCTCTGTGGACAACCAAACGAGGGCAGGATTGACATCTGGGACTTGCAGAAGCCAAACTTCTGCACATGGAGTTAAGCAGCAGGTTGTCCGAGACAACTTATTTTTGTTTTGAACAGCCAGATCCCGCCTCCTGGTTGTCTGGTGGACCACCAAGTAAAAAGGCCTAGAATAAACGTCTCTGCCTCAACGGATGTCCATCGTTTATAAAACTGAAAGAGGGAAAAATCTTCTTGAAGCCATCCAGGGTTTAAACTGACGGTTCTTTCAACCAATAAAGAGAACAACAGTCAAAGTTTCACCCAATCAGAGCAAAGCAGAGTGGGTTGCGCTGTCTGATTGACAGCAGATCTGCAGCGTTGAGTCAAACAGCCGATGAACGCTTGTGTTTCCCTTGAAATTTTTCCCCCGAGGTTTATATTTTTCCATCGTATCACTGTGTGTTCACATGTACAACAAAACCACAAGAGCACCAGCGTTTACGAAGCGGAGGCTAACCCCTAATTTACACTACATGCGTTGCGGCTCCGGTCCGACCTCCGCAGAAAATACGCACCCGTTATAATCAATGAGAGTGTT